CCCCCCCCTCCAATTGAAGGAGGGAGCGGGTCACCCTGAAGAGGGCGGCAGGGCGGTTATCTGATGACGCAGTTATATCCCCACACCAATTCAGTTTTCGAGACAGTTTTCAAGGACTGTCCAACAAAAAGCAACTTAAAGGCAACTAATCTGGAAACCACCCTTCTCCATCATTCTGTCTATACTGTACAGAATAGTTGAACTGACTGCCAAGACTGATAAAAAACACTCCTGATAAATTTAGTAGCACCTAAATTTCTTGGAACAATGCTAGATTCAAGAAGAATCCTAAGCTCTGGTAAGACATTAAGGGAAGACAAAGGCATTCAACACAAACAACGCAAATCTTCCTAGACCAGCAGTACAACCTTCTCATCTTTTTACTTCTGGCTGAAGATGTATATCTGCAAACTTCCAGAGAAATGAGTGCTATTAAGCACAATTTACTATGTTTTAGTGCAAGAACAGGTAATCTGTTTAGATCTGTATAATTTCTACTAGTAAGGCTTGCTAGTATACTATAAACATATATTATTTCTTTTATTTATCATTATTTTATTTAAACCCATAGTCTGGGGCCTCAATTTATATTCAGTTTACTAATAAAATTTCAATAAGCAAATCTGGACATTAATTTCACAATGCTGAAAATTAAAGGGATTCACAGAAGTATATAGGTAGTTAGCTTGAAATTATACCTGACTAACTCTGTTGACTTCTACTTCTTCCTCCTCAGCTTCTTCTCCAAATGAAAGCAGGCTAAAATTTCTTCAAATAGAAAAAAGAGGTACCTTAATTTAACAGTAGAACACATAAAAACCCAGAATTCTTTTGAAAATTATTGCCATTTCAAAGGTCTACAGAACTAATTTTCCTGTTGAAATCTCACAAAATCCTAGCCAACCTCTGCAATAGGATTTTCTTCTTGCTGCACTTTGTCAAGTAGCCTTAAAACCTTCCCTAGAATATAGTTTGAGGATGCATAAGAGACTACAGCATAAAACCTTATCAGGGTGCAATGTTCCATTCAAGAAAGCATACAACTGGATTCTGTTCCTTATCTTTTACACAATTATTATTTGTATATAATTCAGTGTCAAGGCATAAATCAAATCCTAATCTATAGTAGAAAACTATACCTGAGTTTGCAGAAAAGAAATATAATAATAATAATAATAAAGTTGGAAGGGACCTTGGAGGTCATCTAGTCCAACCCCCTGTTCAGGCAGGAAACCCTATACCATTTCAGACAAATGGCTGTCCAGTCTCTTCTTAAAAACTTCCAGTGTTGGAGCATTCACCACTTCTGGAGGCAGCTTGTTCCACTGGTTAATTGTTCTAACTGTCAGGAAGTTTCTCCTTAGTTCTAGGTTGCTTCTCTCTTTGGTTAGTTTCCATCCGTTGCTTCTTGTTCTGCCTTCAGGTGCCTTGGAAAATAGCTTGACTCCCTCTTCTTTGTGGCAGCCCCTGAGATATTGGAACACTGCTATCATGTCCCCCCTCGTCCTTCTCTTCATTAAACTAGACATACCCAATTCCAGCAGCCTTTCCTTATATGCTTTGGCCTCCAGTCCCCTAATCATCTTTGTTGCTCTTCTCTGTACTCTTTCTAGAGTCTCAACATNGCACACTGCTGGCTCATATTTAAGTGATTGTCCACTAGGACTCCGAGGTCCCTCTCACAGTTACTACTATTGAGCAAGGTACCCCCTATACTATACCTGTACATTTGGTTTTTCTTGCCTAAATGTAGAACCTTACTTTTTTCACCATTGAATTTCATTTTGTTAGATAGTGCCCAGTGTTCAAGTCTGTCCAGATCCTTCTGTATCCTAAGCCTGTCTTCTGAAGTGTTGGCTATTCCTGCCAGCTTGGTGTCATCTGCAAATTTGATGATTTCTCCATCTATCCCCTCATCCAAATCATTGATGAAGATGTTGAAGAGCACTGAGCCCAGAACAGAGCCCTGGGGCACCCCACTACACACTTCCCTCCATGTAGATGCGGTTCCATTGAGGACCACACGCTGAGTACGGCAGGTCAGCCAGCTTCGGATCCATCTGGTGGTGATGCTGTCTAACCCGTGTTTTTCTATCTTATCAAGTAGTAGGTTGTGATCTACTTTATCAAATGCCTTACTGAAGTCCAAGTAAATTATATCCACAGCATTCATCTCATCCACTAATTTTGTCACTTGGTTAAAGAATGCAACAAGATTTGTCTGGCATGATCTGTTTTTGACAAACCTATGTTGGCTTTTAGTAATGACTTTGTTTGCCTCTAGGTGTTCGCTGATTCGTTGTTTGATTATCTTTTCCAGAATCTTCCCAGGTATTGAGGTCAGGCTGATAGGTCTGTAATTTCTTGAGTCCATTTTTTTTCCTTTTTTGAAGATGGGAACTACATCAGCTCTTTTCCAGTCCTCCAGTAATTCCCCAGTGCTCCAGGATCTTTGAAAAATATAGTTCAATGGTTCTGAGATCTGCCAGTTCCTTGAGAACCCTGGGGTGTAATCCATCTGGTCCTGGTGATTTGAACTCATCTAGGCTGGACAGGTGCTCACTTACCGTTTTCTTGCCTATCTTAACTTGCGTTTCTATTCTGTTTTTTATGGCACTATTTTTGGTAGGTTGGTCTGTTTTTTCCCTTTGTGTAAAGACAGATGCAAAAAATGAGTTAAATAGTTCTGCTTTCTCCCTGTTGCTTGTGACCTTCTTGCCACTTTCCCCCACTAATGGACCAATCATTTCCTTCACTTTTTTCTTGTTTTTTACATGTTGAAAGAAGCTTTTTTTTTGTTATTTTTGACTTTGGTCGCAAGCCTTAGTTCATTTTGAGCCTTAGCTTTCCTCACTTCATCTTTGCAGGCTCGGGCTATTTGTTGATATTCTGACTTAGTTATGTGCCCCTCTTTCCACTTTCTATACTTGTCCTTTTTATCTTTCAATTTATCAGAGAGTTCTTTATGCAGCCATGCTGGTTTTTTTGAGAGCTGTTATTTTTCCTCTTTGTTGGTATTGTGCTGGACTGGGCTTTTATTATCTCATTTTTCAAAATTTCCCAAGCTTCTTGAGTTGTTTTCCCCTTGAGGATTCTCATCTATGGAATACTTCCCAAGCCCTCTCTAAGTTTACTGAAATTAACTCTCTTAAAGTCCAAGACTCTAGTTTGACTGTGTTCTATTGCTTGTGCTTCCATAATGTTGAATTCCAATATTGTGTATAGACATTTGAGTCCTTTATGACTGACCCTGTGTTTACTTTCTACATAACCTGTGTGGTGCCTGAGTTCCCCTATTGTCTTACTACCTATTTGGTTAGTGCACTGTGTGACACTCGCTATTAAAAGCTTGATTTTGCTTGACAGCAAGGTTGATATTCTTGTCCGCACACACATCTATGTTACATGCACTGATAGCCCTATAGCCCTATAGTAAATATGCTATACTTACTTTGTGCCCTTTGATTTTGCCTTCTCAACTTCTTCCATTGGTTTCTCATTCTTCAGCTTTTTACTGATCCTTGGAATTATGTCATCAAAGGGATTAAATAAAACCTAAAATAAACATATTTTATTAATCTTTTAAGACTGTCGATCATGAAAAATAATATTTCATAAGCACCCAAACACTGCAATCTAGAAATGGTGATAAGGCATAACTAAGCTTGCTGAACATAAGTTATTAAATCTAGCTTAGCTGAAGCTTGTATACTTTAGGTAATAGCTTAATCTAACAATGGCCAAAATAGTTATATGCCAGTTTTTAATGGAAATCAATCAAACAAATGTGTGAACTATCCATCATCTTAGAAATATGATGAGTTAACAGAAAAATTCCATGACCTAAATGGTGGTATGTTCTTCACACAGGTCTTAAAATTAGATAAAGAGAATCAATCAAACAAATGAGGCAAAATCATACCTATTAAAGTATTTATTGAGGAAAATATATCAAAGCTACAAATTTGTATGTGACAAAGTATATGAACCTTTGGATTCAGTAATTAGTGTGATCTTCTTGGACAGCAATAACTGTAACTAAACATTTCCTATAACTGCTGATCAGTCATAAACATGGGCTTGGAGGAGTTTTAGTTCATTCTTCCCTATAGAACAGATTCAACCTTCGGATGTTGGTGGGCTTCTGTGCATCCAATGTCCACTTCAAACCTTTCCACATTTCTATAGGATTATAGTCAGGTCTTGGACATTCCAAAACATTTTTTCTGCTTTAATCTTTCTTTGGTCATAAAACTTGTGTGTTTTGGATCTTTGTCTTACTGTATGATCCACTTCTCTTGATCTTCAAGTTCACAGACATAGAGTATACCCTGAATTTTCTGATATAGTTCAGCATGTATAGTTCCATCAATGATGGCAAGCAGTCCTGGTCCTGAAACAGCAAAGCAGGACCAAACCATGATCAGACCACATTTCACAACTGGGATAAGATTATTATGCTGGAATGCAGTGTTTGTTTTTCAACAAACATAAAACTTTTCATTCAATCTACAAGTCTACTTTGGACTTATCTGTCCACAGCCTTCAACTTATCTAGGTGGTCTTTTGCAAACCAAAGATGGGGAGCAATGTTCTTTTTGGATAGAAGTGGCTTTTTCCTTCCAACCCTGCCAGGCACACAATTGTTGTCCAGTGTTCTTCTGATGGTGGTTTCATGAACACGGAGATTCATCAATGCAAGAGAGGCCTTTAGATCCTTAAGACATTACACTGGGCTTCTTGAGACCTCCTGGAGTATAACAAACCTTGTTCTTGATGTGACCTTGATTGATCTCCTGGAAAGGGTAACAATACCATTGATTGCACATGATCTGCCTGATACTGGACTAGTGAAGTCCACACTCTTTGGAAATAGTTTTTCCCAGCCTGGTGAACATCAACAATTTGTTTTTCAGATATCCTCAGAAATCTCCTTTGTTCAAGTCATGACATACTTCCACATACCTGTGTTGTGAAAATCACTTTTTGATAGTGAATACTCAGAAGTCTGTTCTTTTAATAAGGCAGAACCTCCCACACTCAAACCTGATTATCATCCCATTGATCAAAATATCTGACTCTAATTTTCATATGAATTGATAATTTGGATCATTTTCCTCAATAAATCAACGAACAAATACAATATTTTTGACTCATTTGCTTAATGGGTTCTTGTTATCTAGTTTTAGGGCTTATGTAAAGAACAGACCACATCTTTTAAGATCATATTTATGCAGAAATATTGAAATATTGAAAATTCAAAAGGATTCACAACTCTTTTTCATCTACACCATTTAAATGAAACTTCATGAGATCTTCTAGAATTTGATATAATTGATATGTAATTAATCTGAACATATTATTCGAACACCTTGGGCAAGCAATTGTGGTCAAATATACGAAATCCAGGCAAATCAAGAGTTTCATTCATTTTTTTCTTGTTTTAAGAAAAATAATAATTCAAAATAAACACCTGTGAATGTCTCCTAGAATTGCCTTGATTATGTGTAAGCAAGTAGTATTACCGGTAGTAACTGCTGGCTTTTTATTAACCATAGGCAGTCCTTAGTGACTGCCTTCTTTAATGACCATTCACAGTTATGACAGTGATGAAAATAACTTTATAATCTGTCCCTGCATTGATGACCTTTATAGGTCTGTAAAGCAAAGGAAAGCAAGATTATAAGCATAATCAGTTTCATTTAGCAATCACTTTAATAACTAAGTTGCTGGTCCCATTTGTGATAGCTAAATAAGAATTGTGCCATACATTAGAAAGAGATGCCAAGATCAGCACTTGGGTCAAAAATGCTAACATACTCGTGATATACAAACTGAGTTTTCAATTATTTCTAATAATTTGAAGCAAAGTGCAAGAAAATATTTCATTTCATTTTAACAACATCAACACAAGAGAAATATATATTTATATCTATTACAGATAATCTTATTCCTACCTCTGTACTTGTTATTTTATATGGATTGACTGGTCTTTCATCCATGCCAATTTCAACTTCTGAAAGTCGCAACATATTATATACAGTATCTCCAGTGATCTGCCAAATTAGAAGTACCTTTTTAAAAGCTACCTTTTCACAAATTATTTTCGAAACACATTTTAATTTAAAAAATTTTAATTTATGTATTTATTACTATTATTTCTACATTGGCACATTCCAAACAACTTCTGATTACAATAGTAACAAACCCATAAAACAGAGAATTAAAAATATCAAATTAATAGCAACTGCTCCCCCCACTTCTCAAAAAGGAATTGGACAAACTCCCGTTTCATTTTCTTAGAAGAAGCTAGAAGTCCCTAAGTGGTGCAATTTATACTGAGGGGCATTTTGTCAATTTCCTGGGCATCAACAAGCTGCACTGAATCCCAGCTAATTGTTCAAGATATTAACCCAATCAATTCACCAGATCCCACTCATGCCAAATCAAAATTATAGTGAATATAAAAAACTTTATGCATAAAGTGTTGCACAAAATATTTTCAAGACCTCTAACCAAGATTACCATGGTCACTCTTCCCCAGTATGGAACAGATCATGTTAAATAAAGTGAAGTAAGGGCAGAAAAATCTGATGCTTTGCTGTATTGCCACTGTAGAAGTTTAAACATGGGCTTTCATCAATGTTTGGTCATATTCAGTGTCTCTATTGGTATTCTATCTTCCAGAATTCATTTGTAAACCAAGGTAATCCCTAAGATTGAGATAGTCATGTTGAAGTATCTGGCTATCCCCACTTCCAGAGATTAACCAGCTGATTTATGAAATTTCTTGCCAAATCGCTGTAAAATCTAAAAGTGCCCATCTTGAATCCATCAAGATACATAATGTGGCTGATACTATTTTTTAATCAATTCTTTCACCATGGGGAAGTTGCAAGGTACAACTTGCTTCATTTGAACCAGGAAGTGATCTACTACAGCAAAGAACTAACAGCAACATATTCCCTTCTATTCTTCCTACGTATCATTTTACCTGCTCCTTCCTTCACTAGCTTATATACTTTTTTTACCCTTAATGGCATATAAATAGTTATTTATATTGCAGTCTATGTTTATTCATAACTTTTCATCAAATATTCTATCCCAAGGATTTGAAAGCTTTTCCTGGAACTTATTTTTATTCTCACAAATAAAATAAATAACTAATGCCATTATGAACAAATCTTTGTAGACAATAAATATAATTTAAGCAGAAGTTTTCCAAACCTTTCCAAAGATAGTGTGTTTGTTGTTAAGTTCATCCGCACGCCCCAAAGTAAAAAAGAACTGGCTGCCATTATCATGAGGCCCGGAATTTGCCATGGCAACGAGTCCTCGTCGAATAAAACGCAATCGTGAATGGAATTCATCCTGTAAATTATGACAAAGAACAATTACTGCACAATTGCCTCTCATTCATTTAGGTTGATGCACATAGGATGAAATCCAAAACGATAACAAGACGCATATTTCCCACCAACATCAGAACAAATCAATTTGCAGTCCTCAGTTAACAATTACCCTGCTTAGTGATGGTTCAAACTTATATAGCACTTAAAATGTAGTTATATAATCCTTGAACTTACAATCATCGCAGCATCCCCAGTCACATGATCACAACTCAGGTACTTTGTTACAGACACACATTTACAACAGTTACAGCATATTGTGGTCAGGTAATCACCATTTGCAAGTTTATAGCCAAGTTCCAACAAGTAAAGTCTGTGGAGAAGCTGGCAATGGCACAAGTCTCAGTCATGTGATATTCTACTTAATGACTGCAACGGAACAGACATCTTAAGTCTGGCGCAGTCACATGATGTCTCAATTAACCACAATGCTTAGTAGAGCTGAACTGCTGAGCAACTGAGCTTTACACAGCTGAGTTGCCAAATTGACCACATTGCTTAGCAAGGGAGTTGTCAGTCTTAATTGTTGTCATTATGTGAGGGCTACTTGTATTCTAATTACAGCATTTCCTTGTTTAGTTAAAGTCTTTATGAATAAAATTATATTTTTTGGAAAACCTAGAAAAGACTCATCCTTTAATATTTCCCCAAATACACTTCTATTTTCAATACTTAGCCATATAAGCTCTATCTATTTCAGTAGAATATGTCTTACATTTCCTCTGCCCAAATTTCTACCACTAAAATCAAAGGGGGAAAAAAGGGACTAATTGAAAAAGAGTATAGTAACAAAAAGAACAGTAAAAAAACAACTAGCTAAAGCAGAGGGTTACCTTGAAAGGGGCTCCATAGATAGATTCTCCTCCTGAGCCAGTACCAGTTGGATCACCACCTTGTATTATAAATTCAGGTACAACCCTATGAAATATGGTGTTTTCATAATAGCCTGAAAACAAAACAAGTGTTAAGCCACTTTATAGGAATTGCAACATTTCCACTGGTGAGAGGTTTACTTTTTATTTGTGTATATTTATTTCTGAGAAAATGTCAACATCAAATTAATTATATATAGGAAAAGTAAAAGAACCTTTTGTAAAATATAAAGTTTTCTGAATTACATAATCAATTGTAAAAAAATATTTTTTAAAAAAGAGTGAAGGCATGAAAATACTTGTTAGATTTACCAATTAGTCTTTGCTTGGTTTCATACAGACACCCTTAATTCTGCAGTACAATCTTACCAGTTCTTAATGTATACAGAAAACTTAAAAACTGTGAGTCTTATAATTTTTTGCATAGACAGGTAGATTTTATTAATTTAATAATAGATTTACTTTTAACAGTTAATCTGATGAAATTATGATAGAACCAAAGCCATAAGATGAAGGTCACAAGCCCAAAGTCAGAGACTCTTAGCTTATTTGGTCTTCTGGACATTCAATATATGTACATCATCAGAATAAAAAAGTTTAGAAAGCGGTCGAGAAATTACTCTAAGGTCCATCTGAATAAAGCTCAAAAATAATCAGTTTAAAAATCTTCTCTCTAGCACAGGAGTCCCCAACCCTGGAGCCGCAGCCCACTACTAGGCCTTGAGCCTTTCAAAATCAGGCCAGGGAAGTGGCGGGTGAGTACACACGCATCTCTGCTCAAACAAAAGGAGCTGCATGTGCACACGGAACCATCCTCTCCGCCCTCCAACTGGTCCGCAAAGCCAAAAAGTTGGGGAACTCTGCTCTAGCAAACACTGAACACGTTGAAGAAAATCTGGGGTTTGATTTGCAGCAAATAAGAAACTTTTCTCTTTTTTTCACTGTTTCAGTTTTCACTTTTGAAATAAGATTAAAGAAAAATGTAATTTTCTTCTCTTTCCCAATCCCTCTGGCAATCTCAATGACTTAGAAAAGATTTGGTTCAATTGTGTGGAAGTTTGGATAAGAAAGAACAATTTCTATTGCTTTCTTAATCTTGGGGAAAATCAGAGCAAATCCATCATTTTCTCCATGCCCTATGACCTTCTCAAAGCATCTAAGAAATAGATCTTCAATCCCTGGCATGGAATTTCACAGAGAATGGAAAAATGAATCAAAAGCATCTCTCTAGTGAGTCCTTTGGTAAAGAGCAGAGAGTTTGAAAGAAAGATGACATTATCTTACTTGTCACACACTTTTGAGGAAAAGAGGACACACAGAACAAAACTCTTGCTGCTGGTCCTTCCTTCTCTCAACTATAAAGTATGAAAGAAGTTGTTCCAAGTTTGATCATCAGAAGGGCTAAGAATACTTCCCTAAGTGGGGGTACTGCAGATGTTTGCTGTTTCTTTCAAACAAAGCTTGTATTTCTATTTAAAACTTTTTGGAAAAGTAGTATGAGAATTAAGCACACTTATTGAAATTGAGTACTTTTCATTGTATAGAAACTATATTTTATTATAGTTATTATATTTATACTCTTATTGTTATTATTATTGATCATCGCATAGCCAGATGTTCAGACTGGGTTTGGCATTTTTGTCTACCTATCGAGTCCTTACCAAGGACCTGGGATAAGCAGATCTGGATGTTTGATGGTGTTACAGATATCGTCGCAGGATAGAAGCTGTCCCCAGTAAAGCCACCTTTTGTAATTGACTGATGGTGAATTTGTCAATGCCAATAGTGTTCAAGTGGTGCTACAGTTGTTTTGGGATTGTACCCAAGGTGCCTATTACTATTGGTACTACCCTTGCTTGCATTTGCCATAGTTACTCTATTTCTATTTTTAGGTCTTTGTATTTTGTTATCTTCTCCAGTTCTTTCTTTTCTATTCTGCTGTCTCTAGGCATTGCTACATCTACTATCCAGATTTTTTTGTCTTTCTTATTGATATTATTATTGTTGTTGTTATATTAGGAGCTACTGTATTTTTCTTGGTCATTACCTTCCATACAAAGCTGAATAAAGTTTCGACATGCCTTGGGAGCTTCTTTTGACCATAATTCAATATCAATATCTCCAGCTGTTGTTTTCAGTAATACCTACAAAATAGATTTAATATATGATTATGTGATCATTACAAGTCTCAATATTTTTTTAATCAGTCCTAGTACATAATTACATCTTCTGAAGCATACATTTATTATATGTGATCATTACAGGTCTCAATATTTTTTTAATCAGTCTTAGTACATAATTACATCTTCTGAAGCATACATTTATTATATGTCCTCTAGAATGTAATATAACACAATCAACAGCAAAATAAACTAACAGAAAATAATATGGAAGCAATAAAGCAGACATTACTAATAAAGCAGGAACTACTAATGCAGGCATACTCTTGTGTACAGTACACAAATACGGTAAGAATTGGGCCTCTATCTCTACAAGTTTATTGTAAGCAGATTTGAATAATATTTTAATTAAAAAAAGCAGATAGAAATGTTTAGGATTGCACAGTTAGATGTCCAAACTGATAGACAACTGAGCAGAATACTATTATAAGTATTTTTACTGGATAAAAAATTAACTAATAAGGCTTATAAAATATGGCTCCGAAGTTTTTTTCTTTGATTTGAGCAGTTTGTTTTAGACAGCCAAAAACTTGGGGAGGAAAGTTTTTATAAATAGCTAAGTTACAGGAAATCATGTAATGCCTCTGTTAAAATAGCAATTGTTTAGGAAACAACCTGAGCAATATTTCAGAAACTACATATAAAGTCTGCCCATACAACTCTCTAGACTATACCATTTTGCTACATTCTTAGCAAAGACATAAAACATTTTTCAGTTGCATGAAAAAGGTTCAGCTTATTCAGAATAAAAACAAGCAATCACAAGAATAACCAATGGCATCTCCTATTGATATTACATGGCCTCAGACACCTTGAATTTGATCTGGAAGCAAATCAGCAACCATTTTTTACTCCCTGACAACATGAACCAAAGCAGGAAAGTGTTTATTAACAGGAGAGGGGTGTGTGTGTCAAGTCTTTATATAGGATACAGGCAGTGGTGGGATTCAGCCGGTTTGCACCACTTCGGCAGAACCGGTAACTAATTTTTTGTTGCCCAGGCCCAGAATGGACTTCCAGAAGCAGCATCCACACAGAGAACCAGTTGTTCACCTATTTGAATCCCACCACTGGATACAGGTATATACATTTGATATATAATATGTGTATCAGAAAGTAACAAATCAAACAAAAAAGCACTGATGTGCAATAAAAGCTTTATTTTTGTTAGATAGGTTATATAAAATATGTTGCATTTGTGGGCTTGTTTAACACTGATCAAGGATTTCAAAATACAGTCTCATTGTTTGATTAGTCACATCCTATCCCTGAAAAAGCTAGTTTTGCACATCAAAGGAAATGTCTTTGGCTTAAAAAAAAAAACATGGTTTCCTAAACTTCAAAAGGAGGCATAGATGCCATGCTAAAATCCTAGTGTTATCTGTACTGTACTTAAACGTTAGCAGAACATCCTAAAATTCTATACATCAACCTGAGGTACACCTGAACTTTGGTAGCACTTCTGTATTAGCCAAAATGTGCCCAAAGTGATTCTTACTATCCCTATCATTAGAAGAAAATATTGCATGTGCCGCAGGTAACAAAACTAAGGCTGGTAATTTCAATTCACCTCTATCATAGTAAAAACAGCATGTGAAAGCCTAAATTGACCAAAGCACTGATGAGTAACAGATGTCAATGAGCTCATCTGATGCTATTTTTCACTCCTTTTCCACTCTTTTCATTAGGGTGTTTACCTAAAAAGGAATAGTATGATGGATGTGTATGGTTTTTGCAAACTTCCATTTCTTCCAAATGCTTTGAGAATTTCATTAGTCACATAACTTAATTAAAACCTTTGCAGTCTTTTGTTGGAAATAAAACGGTTTCTGCCATTGGAGTAAACAGAATTCCCTTGGCTCTCATTTTAATATATATTAAGCCCTATTACTACTTGGGGATGTTTCAATCTAAATTCTTTACATTCTTATTCTATAGTAAACCCCACTGAACTCAACCTAAATATCACAATATTGGATTGAAGCCAGACTGTTCCAGCCAATGTATACTCGGGCAATAAGCAGGCATTTAATACAATTAATTTCAAATTAAGACACATCGCATATTAAGTTCCTACATTCGCTACAAACTGAAGCACTTCAGTGCTTCCCACTCAAACTAAATCAGTTATTAAGCGCTGGGTATATCTACGCTCCTCCTTAGATGAGCGGACGGACTCTCACCTTGCCATTGGTTGGCGGTTCCTGGATGTAAATATTACTCATGCTGAAAACTTCCACACAGCCGCTGCCCTGAGAGAATATCTCACTCGTAGCATCCACCCGGTGGGCGAGAAATCTCTTCAATGACTATTTGGGACTCCAGCGCGATCTTCCCCCCGCCATGTTGGGTCATGGAAGACCTCATTTCTAGGCGTGGGGGGAGACAGAGGACAGTGCCACCAAGAGAAGTCAGGCTTCTGATGTTCTGTTCAAGAACAGAAAGAGAAATAGCTTCGGAATTTCGGGCAAAGTCCACGAGCTAACCGCAGCTGAGTGCGGCCTGGTAGGACCAAATTTTTCGGCGTATTAGAAGGGTTCCCCCTCTTCAGATCTTAGCGAGTAGTATGACCCGCTGTGCAGTTCCTGTAATCATCCGACTAGAAACGTTGCTGTAACTATTTTGATCCCGCTGAGAGAGATTGGCTCTTCAACCGCGAAAGACGGAGGCGGGAGAGTTTTCTGATTGATCTGCATGTCCCACCCCGTATCCCTCGAACCGAAGGAAAGGAGCAAGGCCTACGGAGGAAGAATATAAGCGAAATCTTCAAGGATTGCCGGATTCAGTTTCTAAGTCATGTAGGTGACTATGGAGATTCTCAGTCATTCATGTCATGGTTGTCCCAAAGGTGTTTTTTCAAAAGGCAACTGGACTTTTTTCTTAAAGACGTTTCGCTTTTCATCCAAGAAGCTTTTTCAGTTCAGAACTGAACTGAAGAAGCTTCTTGGATGAGAAGCGAAACGACTTCAGGAAAAAACAAAGTCCACTTGCCTTTTGAAAAAGCACCTTTGGGAAAAATGTTTCACGATTTGAGCTTGGAAAATCCCGACGACAGCTCGGCTTTTCCGGCTACGTTCAGTATTATCTATTCCAGATCAATTTAAATAATTTGCATCTGAGTTTTCCCGCAGTACGTGCTTAGAGTTGCTCAGCACTTAAGAAAATGCCCCACAACAGACAAATGCCAAGAGGATCAACGAGGATATACCCACAACGGCAGTCTAGCATTGAGAGTCGAGTGGGAGACTATTGGGTGCCGTTCAGATGCGTTAGGTGCATCAAACTCCCAGTATTCTTCCCTCCCTCCCCTGAGGAAGGACGCTCTATTGGTCTTGGCCGACCCTTGGTTGGATATAGTATCTACCAAGTCCACCGCTCCTTTTGAACCTGGTGTTTTTCGGTGACCCAAAAGCAAAATAAAGGGAGGGCAAAAGCTGCTGTTTAATAGTTCAATTGGCTTTGGAAAGATCAAGCTTCAGTCCTATCACCCTGCATGCAACGAATGACGAAGACAGACGCCCAGATTTGTATCATTAACTTTCCGAGCAAGTAGGCAGAAAATAAACTTTACAAAAACCGGCTTCCAACCTAAATGCACGCGGAAAGTACAGTACATGCCGAGCACTGGTGTATTAACTAGACCAGGGGTAGGCAACCTCGGCTCTTTTATGACTCATGGACTTCAACTCCCAGAATTCCTGAGTCAGCAGAGCTGACTCAGGAATTCTGGGAGTTGAAGTCCATGAGTCATAAAAGAGCCGAGGTTGCCTACCCCTGAACTAGACTCCTTTCTTAGAAAACTAACCTTAGCTTATTCCCATTGGACCAAGGCGCTGTCAATCAAGAGGACAGCCCATTGCCTTTTATTGGGAGTGGCTCAGGAGAAAGAAACTCTGATATTGCCGGGGATGGATAGTCTCTGCCATAGGACTGAACAACCTTCAGACAGGAATCAACAAAGAGACGCCGAATGATAGCGCCCTTCCTTTTCTCTCCCAGCAAGTCAGGAAGGAAGGCTTTTGCTTGCTTCCCGCCTCTTAGTTATTTCCTTAAGAACTCCCCCCCCCCCTCTTGGCTGCATAATGGTTCAGCCCTTCGCGTTTCGGGTCAAAGTTCCCCAGCGAGAACCGTTGCCCCGCGAACTCGTCTGGCCGGAGTTAGTTGGGGCTTAGAGGCGGGGTGGGTTGTGCTGGGCGCATGGCGTTGCCAGGTGAGCTGACGGAAAGGGGATGGGGCGGTAGGGTTCAGATGCGAATGGAAGCGACGGCTTTTGCCGAAGAAGTCTGGGAGACGAGTGCGAGCAAGGAAGGCACGACTGAAAAGCAGTCGCGTTGAATTAATTCGTCTGCGTCTCGATGGCCGTCTAAGCTGGGATTACTTAACTCTCTAAGCCTGGGCTTAATTAAATCGTGGCCAGCGTTTCTTAAAAGGGCGGTCCGAGGACTCCTTGGGGACTCCCAAGGCCCTCCCAGGGGTCCGCGACATCAACATTATTTGCCAGATGTTGAAGATATTTGCAAACATTTAAAACAATTGCACTTATTACTTTTTGTTTAGTAAAGGTATAGGGTTTTTTTTTTCCATGAAAAATATTTTATTGATGTTAATATCTAACATTTAATGTCATTTTTACATGATTTAGAAATCTACAAATGAGTCCATTTTATTTTTTAACACTGTAGATCTTGATAAATATAACCCATGCAAATCAAAGCTTTGGGCGGTCCTAAATAATTTTTAAAAGTAGGAAGAAGACCTGAGGGTGAAAAGTGTAAGAAACACTAGTCTATATAAGTCTACTGTATATAGATTTGTCAATAGATCAATCCTATCCTGCTTTGCATTTGGGAGACTAGCCAAAGTGGATTAAGTATCATCACACCATCTAGTAAACCGTCAGACAGTTTGTAAACTATAGGAAGTGGAATTATACAAATGATAAACTATGAATAAGCAAACTATATTTTGGCTTAATGAAAATCCTGAAAGTCTGTTGAACTTCTGTTTGTTTATATTTACATTTTGCACTAACAAACTTAAAATGCAATGTTTTAATTACAGTTTTAATTAAAAGGTTAAAAAGTTTTAACTCATTTTAAAAATAAAATTGTTAAGTCATTCTAGTATTATAAAGTCCAAGATCGCAAGTTTCTACTTTCAATTTTATATTCTATTACTTATCCAGATGATTAAATATTAATATTTGGCAGAAGGAAAACCCCTACATACAGACCTATGTAATTTTAGAGTATTCTTTAATATACTTCCTGTTCGATACTCTATAAATTTACATACTATGGCATTTTGTAAACATATGACAAATTGAAGGAGGGAGAAGCAGGAATTGGCCTGTTCAGTTATTCTTTCCAGAGTACAGAGCACCAGGATGAATTCAGGATATATAACAGTACAGGTACAGTACAACAATTGATCTCAACATTTCTCTTGTCAGGCAAGACAGTTAAGTGAATTGTGCCTTGTTTTATGACCTTTTTGCCACTGTTGTTAAACAAATCACTGCAGTTGTTAAGTGAATCATGCAGTTGTTAAGCAAATCCAGCTTCCTCCATTGACTTTGCTTGTCGGCAAAGCATCCAAATTTTGATCATGTGATCATGGAGATGCTACAAGGCAGAGATGGATGCTGCTTCCTGTTCTTTCATTGGGACAATAAAGATGCAATTTAATTTAACATTTATGTTGTGCCCTTCAGTACCATGTAGGCTTATGAATAATAAAGCCACCATAAAAGTAAATATTTTAAAAGGAAACAATTAAGACAAAAAGAGTTAGAAAAGAATTATCTAATGAAAACAGGCAGGTGCAGCAAATTAAATGTATCTGGTCAGTAGTTTTCTAACTAGGAAGGTCTCACCCATTGAAAAACAATATTTGCCTGATTTTTTTCTCCTTCAGTTCCTATCTGATGCTGAACAAGAAGTAGAAGAATGTACTAGGTTTATTATAGCCCTCCCAGCAGTTTTTAGACCTCAGATATCTGAGTCCTAATGGACATATTTTAGCAATAGAACCAATTTGATCTAGTGGCTAAGGCACCAGGACAAACTGATCTGGAGACAGAATTCTAGTCCTGCATTAGGCATGAAAGTACTCCACCTCCTCTCACCTCACATGGGTAGTGGTTGTGAGGAAAATAGGAGGAAGAAGGATTAGGTATGTTCGCTTTGAGTTGTTTTATAAAAATAATAAAGGTGGGATATAAATAAATAAAAATGGCTTAGCTGGCTATGGAAAATATTGGATATATAGTTCAGTATTTGAAAGCTACTGCACTGGGAAAAGCTATTTACACTTTTTATATATAAAGCAAGTCTATTTCAGTATCCATGTAACTTATATTCTGTCAGCTCTGAAGATGGTCATTGGATATAATAAGTCAACTCTTTTTAATCCTCCAAGTAAACTTGGAAGCCTGAACACAATTCTTTTATTCACATCTGGATCTTATAATTTATGGAGAAATAGATTCATGTAGTTAAGTTTTTTTTTTAAAAAAATATGTAAATGAGGGTGGTGCTCAGTTTATGCAAGCATTGATCTTTTGTTTTTGTATTATATTTGAGTGAATGCCTAAATGTACTTTCTGTGTACACCATTACTGATTTTTAAAAATAATAAATATAATAATATATAATAATATAATAGTTTCAGGATGAGAGGATATCTTATTCTATTTTAATTCACATATTAATTGTTTGCCAAATTCTTTATAATTGTAGTTGCTCCTGTTTTATATCAACCAGAGCTCATCAGCTCCAGATGTTCTATATGTTGCTAGGAAACAGTAATTTATACATTGCTTCAAGTTTTTATGGTTTTATGGTTGTATTGTGCCATATTTGCCTAGAAATAGCACTTTCAATGTATAATTTCATGTGAATTGCAAATAGAAAAGGCAGCTTAATTCTGCCAAACAGTCTAATGTAGAAAAAATAATAATAATGATGATGATGATGATGATGATGATGATGATGATGATGATGATGATGATAATGATAATGATAAAGTTGGAAGGGACCTCGGAAGTCATCTAGTCCAACCTCCTGCTCAGGCAGGAAACCCTATACCATTTTGGACAAATGGCTGTCCAGTTTCTTCTTAAAAACTTCCAGTGTTGGCGCATTCACCGCTTCTGGAGGCAGGTTGTTCCACTGATTAATTGTTCTAACTGTCAGGAAGTTTCTCCTTAGTTCTAGGTTGCTTCTCTCCTTGCTTAGTTTCCACCCGTTGCTTCTTGTCCTGCTTTCAGGCGCTTTGGAGAATAGCTTGACTCCCTCTTCTTTGTGGCAGCCCCTGAGATATTGGAACACTGCTATCATGTCCCCCCTCGTCCTTCTCTTCGTTAAACTAGACATACCCAATTCCAGCAACCGTTCCTTATATGTTTTAGCCTCCAGTCCCCTAATCATCTTTGTCGCTCTTCTCTGTACTCTTTCTAGAGTTTCAACATCTTTTTTACAATGCTGCAAGCCCAGTATCAACATTTTATTTAATAAAACATACCTGGCTCCAAGATTAATTTATGAAATCAGTGTAACAAGTCACAATTTGGCACCCACCATTGTAATTGTAGATGGCTGCTATTTTTATTATGCACTGTATGGGAAAGTAAACTTTACAAAATTATTCTTGGGTCTGTTGCATCAATAAGTTTCCTGTACATTGAATATTTCTAAAGTCTCTACAAACTAATAAGAAATCTGCTTGGCTTTTTAGGTGGAAATAAGGATAATATCAGGGCAGGGTGCAAGAAATGTGGCTATCGTAAGTATCTACAAAGATGAAGATACAGTTCTGAAAATGAACAGGTTGGAATGAGTTTTCTTGCAATGTGTCACTTGTATTATTAACAGCAATTGTAGGGGAACTGGAAAACATTAATTTTTTGGCTGATTTTGTAGTTTGGTGCTTGATAAGGAAATAAAGAGTATTGAAATTCAACATACTGAAGGAAAGAAGGGAAAAGTGAATTTCAGTTGCTTATTGGTCAAGCGCCACACTAAAAATCAATCAACAAACGAATGATTTTTTCCAATCTTTATATCACTAAGTGGTTCTATGGTTTTACTTATCAAGACATAGTAAAGTTGGCTTTCTTTTTGTAAAATAAATGATGGCATGGTATAATCTGTTTTGCATTTTTGTTTATATGAGGTTGTATTGCCTACTTATAAGAATTGCTAAGGACCAGATGATTTTTATTATATCCTGATACATAAGATCATAGAATTCAAAGAGGTGTACTTTCTTTTTCAAACGAATGTTGTAGTGTGGTGAAGGTAGTGTGGTGAAGGTAATGTGTTCTTTGGTAAGTCAGCCTTAGTCTGTATAAGCAGTGGAAAGAGTGATGGAAATTATAGTCCTCATAGTAGTTTGCCAATCTTGAAATAAGTGACCTAAGACTTATTTAAAACAAAAACATTCTGTCCAAAGAACTGGAGAATCTGCTAGGGTAGAATGCAATAGGTTGAACAAGCTTGTCAACCTAATCTATTACAAAGAACCATACATAATAGCCTTGCCAACAACATATATATATTAGCCTTTATTATTTACTGCAAGTATGTATTTACTTTGAACATATATAACTGAAGGAAACATTATGCAAATTATGTAGTTTTTGCTGCCAAACACCACCAATGGATGTATGAGGCAACTTTTGTAGATCCTGTAATCATTAATTTCAGAGCTAAAAAATTATGTTTTAAAGAACCTCTTGCAGACCTAAAACTATACTGTAGTTTTAAGCAGAAGGAAGTTTCACCAACCCTAATTTACTTGGTGAATGGATCTTAGATTATGACAGTTATCATGGCTATTCTCTAATAATTATATATCTTTCTTTCTTTTATTAGTGCTTGATTTAATTTTAAATTGAATGATGCTGATATGGAGCTAAAGCAATTTTGTTTAAGATATGATTGACCTTATTTGGTGTAAAGATAGGTTTTTGTTTGTAACTTTACATGTATCAGTAAATGTTTAGCATTATTTCTATACCTCTGCAAGTGTTTTTCAACAGTATTTTTGAGCTAGTTTGCATTCTATTAGTGTCTTCAATGGCTAATGGTATGTGAAGGGTTGATATGAGCATATTAAAAGGAAAAAAAATATGCTTATGGATTTTTTTTTATTGTTTGACTCTTGGTTTATAACTAAAAAACAGACAGGAAAAAATCTCTGATATTAACCTTTTTTAATTTGCTTATATTTTCATATATAACAATTTTGTTTCTATTTATTTCATAAAAATTATTATAGCTGCCCACTCCATAATACATATTAGAAGAATTTTCTGCACTAAGACTGATTTAAATTAGTAGTGTCCATACTTTTTTTTAACCAAAATCAAATTAAGTGAATTTCTGAGAAAAGATGTTACAACAAAGTTACATTTTCTTTCCATTATGTTTATTATAGCCAGGGCTTTTTTTGTCATAGAACGCCCAGAACGGAGTTCCGGCACCTTTTTTGGATGGAACCTTGTAGGGTAGGCAAGGCGGGTTGTGTGACATGTGTGAGTTCCGGCACCTTTTTTTTTTTTTCCAAAAAAAAGCATTGATTATAGCTAAAGTTTTACTGTATGCTGTACTGTAAACCACACCAGCTTAAAATACAATAGCTTCCATATTATTAACCTTGAAGAGACTGCCATATCTGCTGTGAAAAATGGATATGAAAATATTTTCAGTGTTAAGTTTTGTTGCTAAGAAAAACTACCTGGATGTATCCATATAAATACCAGGAAATGAGCTTGAGTAGAAGAAGTCTTTACTTTTAGTCTTTTAAAACAAGAAGCAACACAGCTTTAATAATATGCCATTCTTTTAAAGGGCCAAAATGTTTGGAGAATAAATTAAAATTTCCTGACTTTTTTTTTACTTGCTTGCTGAGCAGCAAATAGTCAATTGTACTATTTTTTTGTTTGTTTTTCTTAAAATCTCTTTTGCTTTCTCAAACTTTACTTTAGCAGGTCATCTGACATTTGAGTGCCGAAACTTTCTCCGTGTAGATCCCAAAAGAGACATTGTTTTAGATGTGAGTAGCACAAGCAGTGAAGAGAGTGAGGAAGAGGAGCTGGAGAAACTTCATGTCGTTCCAGAAAAGCAGGGTAAGTTTGATCATCTTATATTTGTCTTTGTTGTTTTTCTTTTGCAATTTTCTTGTCTGAACACTGGGCTCTTACGATGCTATCAGGATATCTGCCAGAAAAAAAGAACGATCTTTTTCAATTATCTTTGCAATCAGTCCATAAAGCCAGATAGTTCCTATTTCAGGAATCACTAAAATCGTAATCACTCTAATTTACAGGTATTCCTGATGAAGAAGAAAAGAAAAAGATCCAAAAGAAGAGCAAGGAAAAATCAAAGTTAAAGAAATCAAGAAAAAGGTAGCAAAACTGAGACAGAAGTTCAGGTAGTCTGTTATGGTTCCGGCTAATGAAACACTTCAAAGAACTTCCAGGCATTGATTTTCCTAAAAGTAATTTATTGTTACAAAATGTCGGCACAGGCACAACGAAGTTGATGCTAAGAACTGAAATTCATTTCCTCTGAGCAGTTAAATTATCAGCATGTTCCCTCCCTTAATTAGCTGTCATATATCAGTTATCCAATTAATGTGAAGGTCAAAGGTTTCCTTCCTCTTTCTTTCCTGGGCTTTTCCCCCCACCCTCTTCTGCTCTGCATTAACCCTAAAAATACCAGACAGTTCTGCATATTGTCAAAGCAAGAATATACAGTATTTGCAGCGTTGACATAGTCCTTGACTTACCGCAGTTCGTTTAGTGCTCATCTATAGTTACAAAGGCACTTAAAAAAGTGATTTATGACCATTGCATCATCCCCATGGTCACAAGATCAAAATTCAGACATTTGACAACTGACTCATATTTATGGTGGTTGCAGTGTCCCAGGGGTCACGTGATCACCTTTTGCAACCGTCTGACAAGGGAAATGAATGGGGAGCCAGATTCATTAACAGTCAGGTTACTAACTTAACAACTGCACTGAATTACTTAACAACTGTGGCAAGAAAGGTTGTAAAATAGGGTAAAACTCTCTTAACAACTGTCTTGCTTAGCAACAGAAATTTGGGGCTCAATTGTGGTCGTAGGTCGAGGACTGTCTATAGTCAAATTGCTAAAAGCATATGATGACGATGCCCTGGCAAATCAGACAATATTTTATTAAAAGAAAAAAAGGAAACAGATACTGAAAGGTTTCTCAGTTTTCTGCTTAGCTGGGGAAACAATCCAAAAAAGAATATTGTTTTGGGTAGCCCAACAATCCTTGCTTGGGCAAGGCTATATTTAAGCCATAATGTAGCAGGAAACTAGCTATTGTAGATTGAGTAGACCATGTTTAATCAAGCCATAAATCATAGTTTAAGCACAATGTGCTTAATTTATTTAGTTATAGAACAGATTCATTAGAAAGAATGGTATCTATATGAGTCTGGATGCAACTTTTAGATTTACTACAAATAAAACAGTTTTTCTTTAGCTTGATTTCTGTATTCAGGTAGAAGTAGCTAGATTGTTCTCTGCTCCATTTCTCCTCTGTTTTATTTAGTGCATCTATACTTAACATGTTTCCTCTGTTTTTGCTCTTCTTTTAAATAATTTTTTTGTCTGTAGAACTTAGTTATCTGAACCTGTAGAATTTCTGTTTACTATATGGATGATGCCTTTTAAAAATTAATTCCCTATTAATATACTGTCCCTTTTCTCAAATAGACAAAGACTATATTAGAATAAAAGGCTATAGAACTTAAGAAAAGTATCTTTGGTGTATTTAGCTAGAGTAACTATGTTTACCAGAAATTGTACGTATTTCCAATTACATTTATAATCCTATGTTTTATAGATCTCATTCTTCAAGCATCACAGAAGATGATGAACCTAAATCAAAAAAGCAGAAATCCCATAAAAAAGAGAAGAAGAAAATGAAAAAGAATAAATCTAAGAAAAGAAAACATCACAAAAAGGGAGGAAAAAAACACAAAAGAGGAAAAGATTCATCTTCTGATAGTTCAGATTCTTCCAGCAATGATTGAAAAACAAGACTTAGGTTGATTTACGTCAATCCTAGTTCAAATTATAATGCCATAAGATATATACTCCTTAATAATTTATTTTAAACATCTCTTTGTATTTAAACTTTTTTTGTGGGACGGGGGAATTAAGGTTTTCATTCTCCTTTATGGGTGTCATTCTTTATTTGTACTTCATGATTGAAAATTGTTTGAGAGATTAAAATGTAAGAAGTAATTTTTATTTCTAAGATTTTAATCTCTCAACGATTACAAATTATTCACAAACAAAATCCGGTAATTTTAGTAGTAACGTCCTATGGTCTTTTAACACTTCTCATAATCAATGGGCACATGCAAGAGATTGCTGTTCCACAGATTCCAGATCCCATTTATTTCCATTATAGGTCCCAGAACGAGAAGAAAAAAACCTGCCCAATTCCATAGCAGGCATTTATGTCCCTTAACTGGGAACAGCTGGAGAAGTTCCACTTGCATCATCTTTGGGGTTCCAGTAGAAAACTAGCAGAGCATGGAACCAGTAATTTTCCCTCTTTTAATTCTTTCTTCTGTCCCATGGAAATGTTTTGTCATTGTGTTCTGTTATTAAGATACATGTTCTTTTATACGTTTTTAGTAAAACTAGAAGGGAGTATGTATCTTAGAAAACTTAGAAGCATAAAATCATTGTTAGTTATACGCTGATGATTCCAGAACTGATTACTCTTCGAAGTGTACAGCATGGAATAGAAAGAAGTGTGAAGATGTTGAAAGGCTGTTATAGTACATTATAGGTACACATGGTAGAAGCATCTCTGGATCAGGATGTAAGTTTGTATTTAAGAGTAAATATTGGGAATTAAATGAGCAAAGTGGACGTAGGTTTTTAAGCACCAAGTGATTTTTTTCTAGTAAAAAATCCTGTGTTTTGACAACTTGAAGATGAAAACTATTTTTATGCTGCTTTTTTATTTTCATGTTGTTTCTTGCCATTTATTTGTATAGATAGTACATACTTTTTGTTGGACCAAAGAAGTAAACCTGATTGAATTTGTAAACTAAATGATTGCTTGTTTGTGCTTAGTTTGCTAAAAAAATAAAAAAGGTCATTCTTTTACCACCAAGTGCTTCTTTTTTTCCACTGGAAAAGTGTGAGAAGCAGTAGAGGGGAATACCTTCTATATTTTTAATAGTTCTGCCTCATTTGTTTTGAGGCTGTTTATATGATATTGCAATATGTGCCATTTTCAGAGTAAAAGTTGCAGATACAATATTAAAAAAAGTTATCTTGACAATATATACATAAGGGCTAGGTAAATACAGTAAGTTTATTAGATGCAGCATGTTAGATTAAAAGGGAAAGGTGCTTTGAAGTACATAGCCTTTTGAGAAAGTTTGCCCTTCAAACTTAGTTGAGTGGCAGTTTGTAATATTATGGCAATTCATTCTTAATGGTATTGTATTAAATAATTCCCACTAGGCTAGCAACTTTTCTGTTCGCAGACAAGGGATATGTGAGAATCCAGCTTCCTATATAGACAGAACACTACCCCTTAAACTATCAAATTGTGTATCAAATATTGACAGGCTCTGCAAGAACTCATAAAAAATAGCTCAGGAATTTAAAATAAGACCTGTCTACTCACAAAAAACTTCGAATTAAATGGTAGAAATTAATGCTTCCTGGACATCCCTGCATTATCAGACATAAGTAGTATTTTGTTGCTTATACACACAAACACATAATGAAACTGTTCACAAACCTGTAATTTTGTCCTTAGAGTTGAAAGTAGGATTGCTCTATTCTACATATTGCTTGACTATTTTTAATATAAAGGAAGAACCCCATTTCATCCATGGAACAAATAGTGATATGGGTAGGATTTGACTTGATCAGTGAGTTGTTATTAGTCAGATGGTGCTTAAATTAGTGAAGTCCGCACTGCCAATACACTACACTCAAGAAAATATAGGAGGAAAAAATGGCTGTCAACTCAGTAAAACATGAGAGATTTTATTCATGTTGTATTTATTCTTGCAAATTGCTTCTTTGAGGTAATAAACTATCATTGTGGTTAGGCAAATATTCTATTCTGTCACTAATAGCAACCATGATATTGCTATGTATTGCTATCAGAATCCATTGCTGAAATGTATAAGCCAAGAGTGACTGGCAGCTAATCATTGGCCCAAGAAAAGGCGAGCTCCTTACATAAAATAATGAAGGAGGTGGGTTCTGCCCCCCAACAACTTGCTTAATTTAATCTTAAACAGCATGCGGTTCTAGTTGTCTGGTTTCACACTATTTGTTATTTGTGAACCCTGACTATCTTAGAGATCTATTATTCATTAGGTTTATATGACTGCCCATATCAAATACTTGATTCTGAACAGCTAACAATTAAAAGCCATAAAGTAAATAAACCAAACCATATATTAGCAGTCTATCTCTATTCAGAGATCAAAGCCAATGAATGCGGACAACTTTATTTTCTCAGAGATCAAATCTGATGCAATTGATTCAAAGAAATTGAATCCCAAGTGCTGGTTTATTACATGTATAGATGCTGCTACCTAGTTGGTCACATAGACAAGCAACCTTGCAAAACAATCCGGCAAACAAGATGAAGAAGATAGAAAAGATGCTCCACATAATCCTAGGTAATTGTCAGGGCAATAAGAAGAATTGTTCTTAGCAGCAGATCACCCCTTCTAAACAGCATTTTCTTATTCATATCTTTAGAAAGTCTGAAACAAGAAGCATGTGCTCCAATTCAAGACAAAAAGAATTAAGAAAGTAAAATCCCAAAATCAGGGTCAGGTTGTGGTTCACTCTCTCCAAGACTGTTGAAAAACCCATGTTTTAAGGGCTTTCTCAAACAAGAAACAAAGTTGGGGATGCTTGGGTTTTGGCAGAGATAACCATGAGAGTTACGCAGCCATAGAAAAGGCTGGTCTCCAACGTTCCAGAACATTGCAATGGTTTAATGAGATCTGAACTATGCCTCCTCTACTAGATCTAGTAAGATGAGTAGATGTATCGGGAAAGGGGCAGTCCTGCAAGTATCCCAGTCTTGAGACCTGACAGGTTTTATAAATTTTTTGTTTGTACAAGCAACATTTGATGTGTACCAGGGTGGCAAAGAAAGGATACTGATCTGTGGCTGCTTTGTAGCTATTGAATGTGCTGTGAAAGGGAGAAACACTCTCAGAACCACCTTTTGGGGTCTGAATCCAAAGCATCACCTGGCGGTTCTTTATAATAACTTTCCTTTCAGATTGTTACTTGTTATATTTGCTTGCTATAAAACATCTGCCAGGTTATCCCACCTCCTTTACATGGACAATCTGAAACTGTATGGAAAAATACTATCTGAAATAGAATTATTGCTCAACAATGTATGTATAGTCAAGATATTGCAATGTAGTTTGGACTGGACAAATGTGTCACACTATCAACGGGGAAAATAGTGAAAACCAATGATCACTACAAATACTTGGGCATCCTTCAAGTTGACATCAAACACACTGAAGTCAAGAAAAAGGTTAGAAGTGGAGGAAATACCATCAAGGCAATTAACACTTAGCAGTTCCGCTCATTAAATACATGGCTGGAATAGTGGAATGGACTCAAGCAGAACTAAAAACCCTGAATAGGAAGACCAGAAAAATAACGACAATGAATCATGCCCTTCATTCATGTTGTTCGTCCATCGATTTTTGATGAAGACCTTGACATCTTGTGGATTGTGGGCCATCAACGGTGTGTCCGTAGATGGCTGATGAGACCGATGTTAGCACGGAACGTTCTGCCACATACTGAACAGAGAAATGTGGACACTGTTGCTTCAGCATTTGCAGCTCTGGCTTTACGGAGTGCTCGCTTCTCTTGTGCCAAGATTGTCCTCCTGTGTTCATATGTCTGGCACCCCTGGTAAACCAGGGTACGCCATGTCGGTCCATACAGCGAAGTTGAAAGACTACTTAAGGAAAATAGGTGGATGTGGAATGTTGAAGAAAAGGCCATTGGAAGAATATCTGAAGGACATTGAAGAAGATGCATTGAAGCTAATATACCACATGGGCTTACTGAATTGTAGAGACACCAAACTGGTCTGGCAATAGCTACGAGAAGGAAAATTGAAAAATTGAAAAAATTCTGGCTGCACAAAACCAGGCTTTAAGAACAAATGCATAGAAAGCCAGAATTTAAAAGACAACAATAGACATCAAATGCCACCTGACTGACACTGACTACAAGCAACAGCATGACATATAGCAATGTTACATTGAAAAATTAGCAAGAAATACTATTTGTCTGTTAGCAAGAACTGATAGAGCCATAAAATAAACAAAATAATAGAAAATGAAGAAGCCAAAGTTCTCTGGGATGTTAGAATTGAAACAAACTGGCACCTGCCACATAACCACCCCAGACTTAACAACTCTCAATATGAAAGACAAAAAAGTCTGGATATTGGATGTTGCGGTACCTGAAGACAGCAGAATAGTAGAGAAAGAACTGGAGAAGATAACAAAATACAAAGACCTAAAATAGAAATAGAACAACTATGGCAAAAGAAAGCAGAGATCCACATAATAATAGCACATCTTGGGTACAATGCAAAAATAATTGGAACACCATTTGAATACCATTGGCATTGACAAAATCACCATCATTCAAATGGAAAAGGCAGCTTTACTTGAAACACCTTATATCTTTTTAACATCATCAAACATCTGCTATCCCTGTTCCTGTGAAGGACTTAACAAATGAATAAAAACACCAACTTCAGTCTAAACATCTGGCTGACTGCAACCAACGATTATAATAGCAGTAGTGACAATTTCAAGAATTTTACCATGAAAGTCTTTTAAAACATCTCTTTAAAATGTCTAGTTCAAGAGATTTTGAGTTAAGTATGGAAAACAGCATTTTGCATGTTTACAAGCTAAAATAAAAATAGTCAGCATGTAATGTTCTGCCTTTGTTTAAGTTAATTGTCACACATACTTCTGCAAGATATATAATTAATTGCCATTCCAACGAAACACTTAAGAAATGTGACCGTTATAATTAAGGACTCTTAGTAATTCTTTGTGCTGTCAAGAGTAAGCAGTGCCTACCTTCTCGGAGGGAAGAGATCACCAGATGTTGCCATTTTAGAACAACTTCTAATTTTTGTGGCTTTGTATAAAGAAATAAATAGCAAAGCACCAGAGCATTCACGACGAAAGCAACAAACATCAGCATAGAAATTCCCAGTCGAACCAATACTAAAATGTAATTTGCATTCAAATAAACAAGCTGAAACAGTTTACCTTTAGTGGTATTAAATTATGCAGTATTGTTTTTTTTTTAAGTTTGCTATTCTTACACATCAATATAACTAACTGCTATTGTACCATTGTTTTAATGTGAGTTACTAACTCCTACCAGTGCGTGCCAACCTTCCTCATTTATCAGCCGGAAGACTCAAATCCAGTAAGCTCCACTGGCACTTGCACATCTGCCCAATAGTTTTAACATCAATTCCCCAAGAAAGCCAAATGGGTCGCTGAACACCCAGACATATAAATGACTCCAAGAATACACATAAATGACTCCCAAGAATAAGATGCCAGGCTTTGAACTATCAGATCAGCAATTGATAATCTTGACTAAGATTTGCACCTCACAGGGCGTCTACTGGCATTCTCTGTATAAATGGGGCATAGTATCCTCCCCTCAGTGTGACTGCAGGGTCCTACGTCAAACTGTAGATCACATTGTGATGGGTTGTAAGGTGCAGGCCTACACTGGTCCAGTATGTGTTTTTTTTTAATATAAACGATGCTGCACTTCAGCGGTTAGATGATCTAGACATTGCTATTTGAACATAGATCTTTTTAATATTTATATTTTATTATATATTACTAATTAGGTGAAATGTTTATATTGCTAGTCCATATATGATATGCCATACGCTAAATAACGGGAGTTACTATATTATTTGCTTAACCTGCATTCCATAAGTCTTTCTAAAATAGCAGATATTTACCAACGGTAAGATCCAAATATATTATCGTTCTGTTTATTTTCCATTCATCCTTTCAGACTTTGTAATTTTCTTTGAGTGGGTCTCACATACTTCCGTCTTTCATATATTCCAATCTCATAAATGCTTTGTATAAAACTATACATTAATCCTATACTATTGCATTAGACAGTGATAGGGATTAAAGACAATTTAGTTGCATCATAAATGATTGATGGGATTATACTTGATGAACATCGTCTAACCTGCCTAATATTCATGGATGTTGCAGTGGATCTGTATTTGGAATGATAACAGTTAGAAAAGGCAAAGACAATCCGAAGCTGTCTTTGTGGTGGGCTGGAGCAAGGTGAGGATGGAGAAATATGTTCCAGTCCCTGAAAAAAGCAGTTGGGTCTTTGCACACTGGTGCAAGTTGAATGTGCAGATGTTATCAAGTTCTTTATTGATTTTTATGTGAAGGAGGGGGAGCAACTCAAAAATGGAGGTACTGCTTGCCATTGCACCGCAAAAGGTGTATTTTGAGGGTTGGATTGGTACTTATAATGATTTGCATGCTGCCTATTCACCATACTCTAGTGCTTAGTAACATGTTTGTAATGTTATACAGCATGTACAGATTTAAGTGGTGGTGACTTGAATTCCCCTATACTTAAATCTTGCAACTTTATAACAAATGGCAGTTTAGAAATGGAAGATAGTTTTGATTTTGGAATTCTGGGCGAGACATGGCAAACTGTAGACATCTCTGCAGAAGTGGTAACCATAGACAACCATGGCTAAGACCAAAGCATCCATGAGTAGAACAGACCCTTGAAATTTCTCAGGATAAGGTGCGGTGGGAGATTGCCCACATGTGCTTTGGATAGCTGCTCCTCACGAGGAGACAGAAGAACAGTAATTTTCTGCAAGTTTGACCGCTGGGAGATGACATCAGCTACCTTGCTCTTAATGGAAGCGGAGCATTTTAAAGGACACTATATTTGCAAATCTCATGGAATAATTGCTTTTGGAAGTTGACTATTAACTATCTTAAAGCTGTTAGAGCAGGGGTCCCCAACCTCTGGCCCGTGGATTGGCTCTGGTCTGCAGCATGCCAGAAACCAGGCCACGCAAACAAGCAAAATCCCATCCACGGGGTGCAGGCAGCACATAAGAACACGTCCTGTCTGATCTGTGGAAAAACCTGTCTCCACGGTACCAGTTCCTAGTGCCCAAAAGATTAGGGGCCACTGTGTTAGAGAACTATGCAAAATCTTCATCACGTGAATTTATCTTCAATTCTGAACAAAAGAAAAATTAATTATAAGATTAAGAATTTAAAAGTGAAATAAGCAGCAAGAAGCTGAATAAGATTTTGATCTAAGAAAGTTATAAATGGACTAAGGGTCCAGATAAATTTGGAATATTGACTTTTACTGTAAGAGTTTGGAATTACCTGTAAAAATAAGTAGCTTTTGTGGGAAACAGACTTATTTGGCTATTAAAATCATAAAAACTTATGATTTTTCAAAACTGGGCATTAAAGGGAACTAAAGATTTTAAGCAAAAGGGAAAAAAATGCAAACCTCTGCTTGATGTCAGTTATTACTGAGACTTACAAAATGATACAAAATGTTATAACACTGGAACTATTAAAGATCTTTGAAGAATGGACCAGAAATTGATAATTACAATATTATAATACAGTATTAATAGTAATGATGTCTGCTACTATGGATAGACAATTTCTAAAAGATGTTAATAAAGAAATGACAGATACAGAGAAATTGGCTTAGTTAGCTAGGGAATTCTGGGAGTTGAACTCCACAGGTCATAAAATTGTCGAGCTGCTTTATTACATTCTAGAATGAAGCCACTAAAACACTTAATTGCCCTCTATCTAAAAGAAAGTGCACTCCCTTCTTATATTCTTTGCAGTTTATTTCCAAAGCTGCTTTTTTCTAGCTCTCTCATACTTTTAACATATATTTATTTTGCCTGGCATTTTCTGACCTTGAAACTGAATTGCTGGCTGATGACACATCTCCCTTGAGAAGCTCTCTCAATTCCCAGAATTGGACTTAGAATTTGGGAGCTGTAGTATTAAAGCATCAAAGTGGGCATGTTGATGCTTGCAGAGAACAGACACAGCTTTTATTTTACAAAAACAAACCAAAGATTGCCTAAAAAGATTTCACTGCTAAAAGGAAATCTCTTTTGTCACTTAATTTTCATGGCAAATTGGAGACTGTATGCAGACTGGGAGTTGATATAAATAACTCAATATTGCTTATTTTTATATTTAGGATATATAAATCAACTCTTTGAAGTATATGAACTATTCCAAAGTCATCTTTTAAAGGTGCCATTGATACGTGATTGACACTAAGGAGTCATGAACTACTGCTTGTAGCCTCTGTTAGGCCCTACTGTGAAACAATTTATCGGTTTCATTGTAGAAACTTATAAAAATGTATAGTAATACATATTATACATTTTATATTCTTCCAACAAGTGTATCAGAATATTCCTTTTATCTTTATGTCAGCTACAAAGGATAAACCAAGATAATGATAGGTTAAGTAATGAGTTCCATTAAAAGTTGAACTTGAGTTCTACAATATTAATTTGATATTAACCAATCTGCTGTGTTGATCATGAAGCCAATTACAATTTAATAAAGCCAAGATAAAACTGACTAGTTTCTTCTTATATCCTATGATTCATTCATTGTTTTTTTTCCATTATATAACAAATTGCAAATTGCGAAACATCTATGTCAGTGGTGGCGAACCTATGGCACGGGTGCCAGAGGTGGCACTCAGAGTGCTCTCTGTGGGCACGCGCGCCCTCGCCCCAGTCCTAGGCCTTCATCTGGGTTTTATAAAACCTTTTTGCTTTAGGCCTCCACAACCGTGTGCAAAAAAAAAAAAAAAGGTTCAGTCGGTCAATTTCAACTTCTCGCGGGGAAAAAAAAATCTTGCAAAGTTGGAATTCATTGATTGAACTTTTTAGTCCCACCCAGTCTGCTGTTACCACTGCAACCACGCCCACCCAATGGGCCACACCCAGCCAATGGGCCACACCCACCCGGCACCCGACAATGCATAAGTGGGTTTTGGGTTGCAGTTTGGGCACTCAGTCTCTAAAAGGTTCGCCATCACTGATCTATGTCATTCAGCTGTGAAAACCAGTAACTTTATGTGGGCCAATGAAAAAGTGCATAAATTTTACACATCCTATCAGTACAATGTAATATTGATTTTTCTGCATATACAGTATTTAAGAAAAAGCAATTATATAAAATAAGTTTATAATTTAAATTCATCTGCATGTTTTAAAAATAATTTTCTGCCCTATTAGACTTTAATATTGTTTAGATTACCTTTTACATCTCAAATCTTTTTATATGTAATTTATACTTGCTGTCTGCATAAGACTGAATATACAATTTATGTAGGTAATTTATTTCATTTCCAGTATATGCTATCTATTTTGCAATACAGATTAGAATAAAAAATTAAGTTCATGGTAAATGTTAAGTGCTTGTGAATTAAGAACCAAATAATAGACAAATGGAATATTGTGTTTAATCCTGGGAAAAAAATTCTAAAGCTACTTTTTGGCACGGGAGAGAAGCTTCCACTGATGGAGAATGTTCTTCTGGGTCACTGACTGAATCAGACTTATGTGAAAGATAGACAGCAAGGAAACATAAACATCAGGTTTATTAAGAGTTGTCTTATATCATGTCCTGCTGCATAGGTATCACTGTGGCTCCAAAAATTTTTATAAACAATTCTAAACACACTAGAATTTAATACTAGAAAATGCTTAATAATCTGACTTTTAACATATAAAATATAGGATTGGGTTGCTCAATCCACAGCTGAAAATTCTCTTGGCATATAAAATAGAGAAAGATAATACTGGATTCTTATGTCTTGCATGAAATTTGCTTTGGCAATGCACAATTACATCAAACAGTTTCTTCAGGTCTTGTTTAACTAAAATAATACCCTAAGTTCCTTTGATGAATCAAACTGCTTCTGAAAAATAAAAAAAGAATGCAATGCAGAATGCTCTATGCGCCATATGCTGATGTTGAGCAAAAGAACCAATAATGTGCATCTAAATATATGGAATCATTGTAAGAATAAAGTGGACTTGAAGTGGACTTGAGCACCTCTCATTGTTCCTTTGCTACAAATCATTCCTTCATTCAGTTTGGCTGAAAGGGTAGAAAATTAGCAAGATAGACTTGAAACCACTGATAATTCTAAGATAGATTCCTCATATTGTTCTGTTTCAAGGTTGGTGACATACATAAGCAGAAGCTGAAATATTTAGTACAGTTAAAGCAGACAGCAGGAAACAGGAATGTAATTAAAATGCCTGGCAGAATGTGCTTGCTAAAAAAAACATCAGTACAGTCCAAGAAGTAATAGCATAGTCTGAATATGTTCCAAGAGTCCCAGTCAGCTGGTCCAAGAGTCAAAGGATCACAAAGAAGGAGGAAGAAGAATCATGAGCTAGAAAGCCAAAGAGTTGACTCTAACAAAGACTACAAGCAAAGCAATTATCTACCACTATCTGCTGACAACTGGCTGCAATACTCATCCCTTGCCCTTTGCCTAGTAAGGAGTCTCATTGAGGAGCACTGCTCTGCTCGCTTCTGTAGACATCTAGACCTGAGACTTGGGGGATTGTACCTCGTTATCTAAGTGCTCCAGCAGAACAGGATGTGCCTGTGGCTGATCAGCCTCAACTGAATTCTGGCTTACTGGGTTTTGAGGCTGACAATCCTGAAGCACAGACTCAGCTGAAGCAACATTGTCAGATTCAAAGTCAGAATCACATTCTGAATCGTAGCTCATAACAGATCTAGTGCTGAGGAATAAAAAAATTATAATATAAATATTACAAAGAAGACATAGGTTAACTAAAAAATATTTATTAACAATGTAAAATGTTTAATATTTTACAGTTAGAGCTATTCTGGCATGCCCTATAAGCAATAACACTAACTTGATGTTCTGACACCATGCTTCAACCTTTACAGGAAACAAAATGGAATAATCTGTTTCACATCAGTGGATTTTATTGTTTCCCACACCATCTTTTAAATTTTCTACTTAAGGTTGGTAACATAAACATGTTCAGGTTTTTCTTTAAAAAAAGTAAAATAGCTATTCTTATGCATTATACAATATGTAGATATTATCTCATATTTACAGGAACAACATATCAATATTATGTTGTTTATGTATTAGAAATTAAACAAATGTACTATGAGGATCTTGTATAAGTTGTGTTATAGAGTGGAAGACTAAATATGAATGAGAGCACAAAAAGCAAAAGGAGAGTGTGTATGTTCTCGTACAATATTGGCTCTGTTTATTTTAGCATTTTAGAATTTAAGCACAATTTTGCTCTTCTAAACAGTTTTCTATGGATTAAATTGCTTAATAGAATATGTTCAAATGTTCATAACATCATACTAGCAAGAGCTACAATCATACTGTTGCACTGTACATAATTGGTTGTGGCTTGTACACTAAATAAAAAATCTGCATGTGTTGGTTATTTGCATCTAATCACAGAATGATTTAAAGTAGACATGCTGTATGCCATCAAAAAAAGTTTAAAAATATTCTTGGGTTTCTGAATTTGGTTCTTGTCAGCAACAAATTATTTTAAAAGGAGGGGAGAAATATAATAAGGGGCATGTAGAAAACACACATGATCATTTTCAAACACTGTTTCTCAATCTCAGGAACTTTAAGATGGGTGGATTTCAATTTCCAGAATTCCCCCAGCCAATTTTGGGAGTTGAAGTACACTCATCTTAAAATTCCTGAGGTTGAGAAACACTGACTTAAGAGATTTTAACTGATCCCAATAAAGAACATTTTGTGTTGGCTGCAGTCATCTATGCTCTTCTGAAATACATTTAGCTGGAGACAAGACAGCACAATCCAAAGAATCTTCTCTTCCGTCTTCGCACTAATGGATAAGGAGTCAAGTTTAGCAGGCTGCTATCATCTGTGGTTTTAAATAAAAAGTTTAGAGTTAGTCTCAATAGCAATTGATCAAGGATTCTTAATAGCAACACTTCTGCCTTACCATAAAGCAAGCTGTGATCTCTGGAAGGCTTTAAGAGGAAAACTTGATTCATGGGGTCTGGGGAGGTTTTCTTCCAGACATTACTATAATAATAAATAGTAATGCTTGTGTACATTTCAGTAATACAATATATTTTATTATGGTTTCCTCAATTACCTTTGACATCTTCAGGTTTCAGCAATGCCAGCTTCTTTAAGCTGAACATTATTGTTATTGCTATTATCAACCATTATTCTCGTCTACTTTTGTCACCAGGGCATTTGTAAGCATATTGGAAATGTAAACGGCGGAAGTGATTAGAATATCCATTTAGTGACTAAAACAGGCTTAATTTAATGTAGACATTAGTTAAAAACTCCAAATTACAAATCTGTCAAAATAGAAAAGTCTCAAAGAGATGTTGAAGTAACACTGATAAAAGTGGTTAACATAATTAACTCAAAATGGAATTACATTTCCAATTTATGGGTAGTACAGATACAACAATAGCAAATTTACAGAGTAATATGAAAAAGTAACAAATTTCAGAAGCATGTAATATCCATTTTGACACAAGAAACTGATGAGTGAAATATGCGAGAAGAGCAAGGGGTAGGAGCTAGAGTACATGATACTGTGTACAAGAGCACATGTATATAAAACTTTTAGGTTTTATTTTAGCTGGGATCAGGAGTAAATCAGAGGTAAAGAACCTGTATCTTTCCCTCATTGTTGAATCCTTCAGCAATCCTAGCCAGTGTGGGCAAGAACAGAGGAAGCTGAGAATTCATCAACAGCTGCAGGGTCCTGTCCCTCAATTACATTTTTAGGTTCGAAATATAAACCAATGAAAAAAAGAGAAAGATAGTACAGGTAGTCCTCACTTACTGACCACTAATTCAACAACTGTTTGAAGTTATGATGGTGCTAAATAAAGGGACTTATGACAAGTTCTTGAAATTGAAGTTTTGGCAACTGGTGTGTTTGTATGACAGTTGCAATGTCCTGTGGTCAAGTGAACATCATTTGTGACCTTCAAAGCTGGCTTCTGACAAGCAAATTCAGTGGGGAAACTGGCAGAAAATCACAAGTCGTGGTCACATGACATTTGTGCCTTACAACTGCAGTGATTTGCAAATTACTGTAGTTAGAACTGTTGCCATAAGTTGGGCATGGTCAGTGATTTTTTTCATTTTATAATCATGTTGCTTAGCAATAGGATGGCTGTCCAAATGCAGTTGGTGAGGATTGCCAGTACACATTTACTGAAGAGTCAAGGCAATGTTAAAGAATGGATGGAGTTGTTCTATTGACTGATATTCTGAGTAGAGAAGCCTCTCACAAAATCCCTGACTGTACTATATTGGATGCATTATCCTAAGTACTTTAGCCCAGACAACATGGCTGTTTGCTAAGATAAGGGGATGTCTAGTGTAAAATATCTGCAGGGCACAGGACAGACAAAAGCTGCTTAAAGGTGGGATAAAAACCACTGTGACCCTTAATCCCTGGCTGACTGGAATTGCTAAAAACTGTTGGTTACTAGGAGACTGTTCTGAAGAGGAAACAATTCAAACTGCATTGTAAGCCCTGATAGATTTAGCATTGTTAAAATAATACCTCCAAATTCCCATAATAAATTCTAAAAAATCCAGGAAAATTCTGGCTCCAATCATTTTGCATCATCACTTCCATAATGCCTCCAAGAGTGGTAAGCATAACAGACTGCTTACCCTGGTATGGAAGACAACACCTATTTTGAGGAAACCAATGCAGTCTATAAAAAATTCATTTACCATTCCTGAAAGGAATTTAGCCTGCCCACTCAACTAACGTATTGATAAATACAGAAAAGAAAAGCTTACCTTGATTTTTCAATGGTAAAGGCATAGTCTCCCTGAGTTTACTTAAAAGGTTTTTCATTTCTCTCATATCCCTGCAGAAATAATGCACAGAACTTAAATAAAGATCTATTTCTACCTTTTGGAATTATAAGAACAACACTAGAGAATTTTTTTAAAAAGGAGTATATACATATATCAAACATGGTATCAACATGGTTTCAATAAACATTAGCTTGTACGTTGAGACTATGCTAACAATAAGAGCAACAATAAAAAAAACATGAGGAAGAATTAGAGAGTGGTAAGAATGGTATCAATGCATATTCAAAATCTATTTATTTTGGCTGTGTGATGCGTTTCTAATACTTATTTAAATGCTTATCCCCCAGACCAATCATAATGGGTGGACAGAATGTAATGAATAAATAAAAATTCAAATCAATCGTTATTACAGTTTAATCTTTATTACTGTGCAAAGATTAAAAACCAATGACAATAAAAACTAGCAATAAAAAACTAGTACATCATCATGATATATTGTATGGTGACAAATATATATCAGGCAATTTACATCAAATGTACAGCGGTATCACCCAGCATATTAGTTTTGCTGACAAAACTGAGACCAGTTACCATTTATTTAGATACCTAGTCCTGCATTTTTTTTCAGCGGTGATAGCTTTGACGAGTTCTACTAAATAAATATAAAAGTAAAAAAATAAATTTAATAACAAAATCAGATGAAAAATAAAGCACATACCTCTCGGTGTTTTCAATATCTGTGGAAACCTGCCATAAATGTTGTTGTATTTCTACTGGTGAAGATGATGTTTCTTCCAAAATAGGAGCTTCTGAACTCTCTTCTAGTTTACTGTCAAGGCTCTTGGGTGCTGTACAGGTCTCCGTCCCTTCGAAAGAGCACCGAACAAAACAGATTTAATCACAAAAATGTTATGTCAATATTTCCACTAATCCTTTCACCTGCCAACTTGAAAACGTCTACTTAATTTCGGAGATGCAAATAAACTAAATAAACAAATCAACATTTGTCAGGCCCAAACAATCAAGAACAACATGTGGAGCTACTTCTGAGTAATTACTTTTGTTTACCTACAAATAGAATCTTGTCAGACTAAAGCAATTATCTGCTATAACTATAGATATACTCTGTGAATTGCTAGAGAGGCTCTCTTCTTGTTCTCTTCCTCCTTACCAGAGATTCTAAGCTCCCTGTCGTGTTGCCCTCTGGGAAAGTGCCCCTCCCTCCTGTAGCTCCAGACTACATTCCACTACATGTCTGACAGTATGACAAATTGAATAATGCTGGCTGCATAAATAATGCAAATTTGCAGGGTTTGCAGTTTTCTTACTTTATTCTCCTTCTGTTAAAAAAAGAAGTGATGGGGCTATGTGTGGAAGGAAAGCTGTGTAGTAGCCTGGGATATACAAGCAGCAAGAAACAGAAAAGTAAATAATTATATGCAATGCGCACTAAAGTTAGCAAGAAAAAAAGTGAGTGAAATAGCTTCTAAATATAAAAAAACAGAAATGAAATGCTTCTTTCTTAAGGACCGTTTTTGAACAATTTTTGTACAATCTTCTAAAACAAATCCCATTTTAGCTTCCGTTTCCAGAGCAGTTTCCAGAACAAATCAGATTCATACTGAAATAATCTGTCTTTCTTTCTCATGCTTTTTATTATTTTATTGTTTTGGAGCAATTTTTTAAATAGATGATTTTAAATGCAAGAGTTATATGTCTGTGCAAGGTTTTCATGCTCATCTTTTTTAATCTTTATTTTAACTGTACTTTATGCTATTATAACTTAATAAAACTTTCATTTAAAACAAAAAGAAGAAATGGCTGATAAACTATGTGGCTTAGACAGCTATGGACCTGCTGATGTTTTGCTTGTTTCAGAGCAGACCCAAAACCACCGAAGAGGTCTAGAACAGCCCAGGAAAGGACTGCTGTTCCAGAGTAGCCTAAAGGCTACAAATAGGACCAGGGACGAAGCTAGGGACCTGTCTTCTTTCTGCAGTCAGTCTGGCTGAAGGCTAAAGAATCAAAGGCTGCAAACTCTAAGAATAATTAAGCTAAGAATAATTAATGCCCTTACTTAACTCTAAGGGAGAGGAGTTGTACAAATGGTTACATACATAACAAGATAGACTGTGCCAGAAATGGAAGTTTCATGTTGCCATTGGCAAGATAATTAACTTTCAAATGCTTGAACGTAAGTCACAGTTTTACTCCCTGCTGATTTACTGTAAAGCTGCAGGAAGGCAGGAGAGATGATAATTTAAACGACTTAGCTTAAAGGCTGCTTGACTCAAAAGACATTGGCATTGCTGAAGGAAACCCTTCTTATCTAGCATACATTATAAATAAAAAGGAGAAAAATCATAAGGTTTTTGGATGCTGTCTGATTATTTTTTGAGAACCCAAGATCTTATGACATCCTGGAGCCAAATCTGTCTCTGTGACAGCAGGTTAGTCAATTTAAAGCAATTTCATTATATCTTAAGTTCCTTCATGTACTTAAGATTCTGTTTATGCAGCACTTGCACATTTTATAATAAGAGTGAGGAAATCAAAACATACTGTTCAACCAATCCATTCCTTGGATGCTTGGCAAACCATTTCTGTATCATGCCAAGAGTAAGTTACTAGAAGTCATTAGTTTATTACAGTTATGCAGAACAGCAGCCTGGAAATAAAACTGTAAAAATAAGCCCTTAACAAAAATGATTAGGCTCATAGGCAATATTTTTCTGTTGCACCCACCATATTGTGAAGTGCTCTCATTTCCCTAATTGTTGGCCTTCCAGAAACTGTAGAAGACAGAATTTTTCCTTTGAGGAATGAATGGCCATCATTTTACTTATCACTTTTATGGCTGCCTCTGTTTTTATTGGCTTTTACATTTTTATTGTTTTTATGTTTTATGCTGACATTTTTTAAAAATCCAGTAGTGTATAAATAAAGTAAGCATTCATGTACTTTTCTAAGAAGAATATTAAATACATAACATAGGGAACAAACATCATAGTTTTTGATTTCTGAAGCAGCTTTTATTGTAGCAGTGTAGTATTGACTTTTTTTCCAAGTTACCTTGACTATGCCTTGTTTAAATCATTTCGAATTTCCACAGGAGAAGCACTATGGCAAAAATTCATCATGATGCACATACCATTTTCCCCAATGGAAACCACACTTTCCTTTTCTTCTTTGCATGATTGATATTTCCCAAGGTATGTAGCACACTGACTTTTTTTTTTAAGGAACCCATTTAAGCAAAATGCCCTACTTTGGAAAGAATTGGTCTAACACGTGAGCTAGCTCACTCCTGTTAACAGAAATAATTCGAGTCAAGAAGGTAAAACAGAAGTAACAGGCTACTTCCTTCAGCTTCAAAAGAAAGACCAAAAGAAAGAAATGCCTTCTCTAAGTAATTCAGAAGGCTCTCTTGCTCAGGATTCCTTCTATTTCAATCAACTCTTCAAATCTGCTTGAATTTGAAGGACATTGCAAATAATGACTCCTTTCAGTCAGTATCAATGCCAGGGGCATACTACAAGGAGTACAAAAAACATTCAACTGTCTGTCAGCAATTTCCCCCTTACAAATACTTGACTGCCTCCAGGCAGTTGTTCCACCTTGTTCAGGACAAAATGGTTATGAAGTGGCTCTGAAGTGGCACCTGTGAACAGATAGAAATTCCCAACATTCATCACAGCAAAAGCTGTGCTAAATAGATACCCAAGTTCTCCAGGGGACTGTGCTTCTTTTTTTCATTGTTAGCCTCAGTCATCACATTTCCTCCCTTGTTTGTCTTTTTTAAAGTACATGTGGAAGAGTAGCCTTACAGCAGGCATGTCAAACTGCTGGCCCGCGGGCCGGATACATCACACTGAAACCGCGCCCACCCCATTGCCGGCAATGGGGAAAAAGTCGTGATACGTCGCGCAACGTCACGTGACATTGCGAGTTTGAGAAGCCTGCCTTAGAGGGTGAAATAATTAAAAATCAGTATGAGGGCATAAGTTGCATAAGCATCTGTTCTGAGTGATCACTTAGACCAGTGTTTATCAACTTTGGTCAGTTGATAAACTGCTGGCAGGAGAATTCTGGGAGCCGAAATCCACAAGTCTTAAAGTTGCCAAGATTGAGAAACACTGATTAGACAAATGGAAAGAAATTTGCTCCAAAGCATTTTAGACTCTGCAGGTTTGTCTGTGTGCCTGCACACAAGTATCAGAAAATTGTTGGAAAAATATTCAAAGCAGGCAAATTACTAAAGATGTGGATTAATTAACATATGTAAGATGGGCAGCTATATAAATGAAATAAATCAGTAAATAATCATAATGGAGTAATATGAAGTGTATATACTTATAATATAAATAGCATGATTTCTTCTAGGCCAAAAGTTAATGAAGCGAACAAAAAATAAATTTTCCACACGTTAGAAATTCAAATGAGGCAAATGCAAATTTTTTCACTTAAGAAAGAGAAGTTAAATGTGTAAATATAAATGGTTTAGTAGAAGTCCTTGTGAAAAAGGCCTTGGAATAATAGTTATTATAATCAGAAGATAAATCAACAGATCAACAAATTTAATTTCCAATGAAGTGAAATTACTAGTATGCATGTATAAAATTCATCACTGCCTCAATTCTAGTGTATTCTGGATGGTTAGAGAGAACTAATAATACATAAAACAAGAATAATGAATAACACATTTTAATTTCTTTTGAATTGGGAAGGGCTCATTTTAACTACTGTGTCCAGTTCAGCCTGTCATATTGATAGCAATAAGAATGATCAAGAAACTAGACATCAATCCTTAGAAGGACAATGGAGGTATTAGGTATATTTATTATTATCTGATTTTAAACAGAAGACCAAGACACATTCTGTAACAATAAACAGGGGTACACAATGATGCATTTAACTACCAAAAAGTACTTTCCAAGTGACTTCTTAGTAGCAGAGAAGTATGACAGAATGTATAGATATACTCAGAAAACAGATGAATTCCTCACCACTAAATGAGTCAAGCAGAATCTGGAGAGTCTTTGGTCAAGAGTCCTTTAATTTATGTTCCTGCAAGGAACATAAATACTACAATTCTGCATTTCTTTTATTTGACAAAATGATGCTGTGCAAGTACCACAGTGGTGGAACTTTCACAGTTCTACAGTGAGCTATTTGCACAATATCCTCCAGGTAAAGCTGCTCACATTAGCTTTGTGATATTAGCACCTGGTTTGTTAGCAAGTTAATAGTTGAAATAAGCAGACAAGCCATATGGTATATCCTAATTCATGCCACATAGCAGGAATTACTGGAATTAGAGTTCTATAGTATTTAAGAAAGAAGTGCATAGGGGAGTGAATGAACATTGTGAGAGAACTTTAAAAAATTAAAAGCATTTATGTGTTAAAAGTGTGACATTCTTATAGAAAAGTACTTTATAAATAATAACAGGAATGTGGATAATTTTTTTTTACTTTCTTAATTCTGGCTACAAATATGAATTTACAAAAACAGAAGAGGGATGTGCTATTTCTGAGCAGCATAGGAGTGCTTTTAAAAGTACTCCTTGCCTCCTCTCTCCCCCATAAGAATATCCCCAGAGCAAGCCATGCAGAGTCAAGTTCCTAAGGTTTGGCTTCTGTTCAATTAGTGTGTAGGAGTAAGGCATCGTGCTTGCAAGAGAAGGGCACATCTGGATTAAAAACAGCTCAATGTCTTTCTGCAAAAGAGCTATTTTAGTTTCAATATGTTTACTGCCCCCATACAAGGAGGTTGATTTTATTTCTGTAGATTAACTCCCTGAAGGAAGAAAGTGGACCTAGGTAGCAAGCTGAACTTTACAAAAGACATAAAAAGCAACAGGGAGCCTTAAGCTTTGATTTTGCAAAATTGTTTTGTATCCACAAGGCAAGAAAAGTCAGCAAAGCATTCAACTGCGCAGCTTGCTTAAGTTGAAAGCTTGTCTTCCTGAGTTTAGGGGGGCAGAGACCTGATGATGCTACATATATTCATAATTACACATTCTTGGGAACATATCCATAAGGAAAACGAGTGCAGTCAGGTGAAAAATTATTTGGTAGACATCTCCCAGAAAATTGTGTAGTAATGCAACTTGACTGTATATCACAGACTCAGAACCGTCAGTGCCAGGAAATAAAAGAATATTCAGAGCTAACCATGAAAGATGCAGTTGCAAATAGTTGCTATATGTTAAGTCAACTGTG